GTTCAGTGACATCGACTACGCTCTTCCAATTGTGCTGCTATTGTCACTTTAGATGAAGGCTTACAGAACTAAATAGTTTCTCATTTAACAGTTAGTACACATGTTGCCCTATGACAATGGTTAACAGCCTCACAACACATCAACACTATCCTTACTCAACCTTGGGTTCCCTATCACCAGCTTTCCTGTTCCCTTCTGCCTTCAGGCCAGGGAATCTTGAAGAAGAGTAGAGTGTATGTGTATGTATATAAGAATACAAAGAAGTAAACTGACAGACAATATGGTTCTAATTTTCTAACTCTTTTTGTGGAGGAATTAAGGGTAAAGGATTTGCCCAGTCCTTTAACTGAGAGAGGAAGATCTGGTATTGGAACCCTGTCTTCATTATTGACAGCTCACCTCTTCCCATTTCACCCAGCAGTCATGGGGGTGGGTAGGGTATAAAGTGAGCAGTAAGGTAGTCTAGCAGGGGTGAGGGAAGCAGACAGGGCAAGGTGGAGATGAGAAAAGACTGGGCATGCGGAGTGAGTGGGGTAGAGCTCCCAAGGTGAGGACAGGCCATGGCAGAGCTCTGTGTGTGAGTGACAAATAGTCTTGTAAACTGCAGAGAGAGGAGTCTCCAGTTGGGAATGGGTGGAGGCTGGAAAGCGATCAAGAAAGCTTGATCAGCCTCGGCCCAAGATGCCTGGATAAGGAGCTGCCTGTATTAGTAATGTTTTTATTAAACAGATTGTCAGCAAATCCCTTTGGTGATGTTACGTATGATTGTCTGGCCCCACAAATTAAATGTTGTGCTTAAAGGTGTGGAGAACCTTATTTAAAAACTTTATTTTTATTTCAATTTAGAGCATATCAAGTTCTTGATGAATATTTGTCCCTTGCAATTTGTCACTGGTGATGTCCAATGGGCCTATTTGTTGAACCATCCTTGAAATTCAATGAAGTCAATTAAACGTGAGGCTTTACATAATTCTCTAAAAACTGTTTATAAGATACTTACAAGGCCGTTAGAAAGAAAATGGTTCTGTTTATAGGGGGAGAAATTATGAATGCATGCACATCATCCTCTCCCAACAAACTGAATAAAAATATTTGCTCTTATTTGAACAGAAACATAACAGTTTGGTTTGACCTAAATACTGTGGAATAATTAGTTGGATTGCAGAAGAATTACAACTTTATAGCAAGAACATTTCCCCTTGGTTCCTGATATACCATTAACCTCTGGCACATTTCTAGACTTTCATTAAAAAAACTGATATAAACGTCTTTTGTTATGTAATATTTGATAATATAAAATATTGCATGTAACATATATGTAAGTTATGAAATATAATAATACCAACAACCATAAAACCACCACCCAGTGCAGTTCTATCTGCTTGAAGATTCCTTCTGTATTCGATTATCCTTCCCCAAGGTGACTTCACATTTAGTTTAGTTTAGTTTAGAAAACATACAAATTTCGTACTAGCCACTGAATTCATTTTTGGAATTAGTTTCTGTGACTACTTTCTCCTTCCCCTAAAGAAGTTCATAGTACAGTAAAACTTGCAAAAGCTGGAACCTTTGTAAAATGGCAATCTGTCAGAGAAGGAAAACTTAAATATTTTCCACTAACAGAGAGTGATAGAAAAGTGGCAAGACTGCACCCTGTCAAAAGCGGAAAACTTGCAAGATGTGAAAAAACAAGGCAGTCCCATGGAGTTCCAGCTCTCACAGGTTTCACTGTATAGTGAGGGAAATATACATACACATAAATACCTATGATAGAATGAGAAAATGCTCTAATAGATGTGCGAAAAAGTGCTATGGAAACCAAGTGAGGTGGCAGCTAATTCTCCCTGGGTGGGGGAGGGTGTGCAGAGAACTATTGAAATGGAGAGCTCAGTGACTGGACTTTGAAGAAAGAGAAATTGTTGACACAGTAGATAAAGATGAAAACATTTTAGTGAGAGGAAAGAGTATGAGCAAAGAGATTGTGGTAAAGAAGTCCACAGTATGTGCAAGGAGCCCCAAAGAGTAGATTGTGCCTGGAGATTCATCCATTTAGTTACTCAGCAAACTTGGTGATTTACTGAATTTTGAGTCAGGCACAAGGAGCACTGGTGGTGCAGTGGTTAAGCGCTTGGCTGCTAACCTAAAGGTTGACTGTTCGAACCCACCAGCCACTCCGAGGGAGAAAGATCTTTACGGAAGTCCATAAAGATTTACAGGCTTGGAAACCCTATGGGGCAGTTCTCCTCAGTGACGTTATAACACAGGGTAGACTCGCCCCACAGGGTTTCCAAGGCTATGAGTCGGAATCGACTCGATGGCAATGGGTTTGGTTTAGTTTTGGACTCTTTATGGAAGCACACTGCCATGTCTTTCTCCTGTGGAGCAGCTCGTGGGTTTGAACCGTCGGCCTTTCAGTTACCAGCTGAGTGCTTAACCACTGTGCCACCAGGGCTCCTTTTTGAAACAGCTTAGTGCCCTAATATCACTGATGCATTGTTGGCTTATTTTCTCTACACATTCAAGCCCTTCATAAGATTTCCTCTTTTGATACATTTCAATTATTTTTTTCAGAATCCTCTTCTCATTCGGATACCCTAGTCTTCCTCTTTTCTATATTCACCTTAGAGATTTCAGTAGTAGATGGAGTGGGCACAGCATGACTTGAAGTTCTGGCAATGTGACTTGTGGAACTGAGGCAGGAATTTATTTTTTTCTGGTAAAGTATTGGCCCCTTGGATTCCCTTTTTAAAAATGCAAATAATCCCAAGGTGCATAGTCCAACGCTTTCACTCTCTTTCAGTTTGAGTGTTTTTGGGCCAATGAATTAATGAGGGACGTTTAGAAGCCAAAGACGTACTTGGGGATACTGAGAGCCAAGTTGTGAAGCACTAAAAGGGTTTTGATTCAGGATCTGGTCAATTCTCTCTCTTTCCCCATCAGTCGCTTACTGACAGATGATACTCTGCTATGGCAGCAGAGTTAGCCCAGGGTACATCTGGATGGCAGTGGGTCTTTTAGAAAAGGCAGAATGCAATGGGTAGTTACCAGTCACTATCACCCATCAGACTTCTTCTTCCAGAAAGGACCAGCAGGAAACGAGAGTGTGCCAGGCAAGAGGTTGCCAAGGCAGAGGGAAGGCCTCATAGTAACCACTATGCCTGGTTGTTGCATTTTGAAATAATCTTATGGTTAGTAAATTGCCACATGAGTGCCCCCCCTCATATTCAGGCCATCCTCCAGGACTTTGTGAACCTCCTCATGTCCAGCGACTAAGGGGCTGTTGTTGTTTTTCGTTGCCATTGAGTTGGTCCCTGACTCATGGAGACCCCACTCAAAATGGAACAAAATGCTGCCCAATGCTGCACCATCCCCATGATTGGTTGTGGAATGGACCACTGTGATCCAAAGAGATTTCACTAGCTGATTTTGGCACAATGGCTAAGAACTCAGCTGCTAAACAAAAGGTCGGCAGTTCGAATCTACCAGCCGCTCCTTGGAAACCCTATGGGGCAGTTCTGCTCTCTCCTATAGGGTCACTATGATTTGGAATAGACTTGATGGCAATGGGTTTTTGTTTCTTTCTAGTCTGTCTTAGCCTGGAAGCTCCATTGAAACCTGTTCAGCATCATAGCAACACATGACCATGAGGAGCACTGGCCTGGAATCGAACCTGGATCTCCTGCATGGAAGGCGAGAATTCTAACCACTGAACCACCACTGCCCGCCATAACTACTAAAGGGTTAATGTTTAGCTAAATTGGGGGGCCTTACAGGTTGTTAAATGTTTAAATATCATCCCTGGAGAGAGCAGAATGTTGCAGGAGGGGGAGGAAGGGACACAGCAAAGACAAACCTCATGTGCCCCGCGTGTGGCAGTTCCTTTATGCTTTATGCCTTTTTCTCATCATTGGGATGCAGCTCAACTGTCAGGTCATACGGCATTTCCCACACTTGGGACAGGGGCAGGGAGAGTGACTGAGGAAGGTTCTGGGACCAGCATTTACAAGGATGTCCTCTGCTAGTCAGAGAACTGTGGTCAGGGAATGCAGTTACTGGTGCAGGGTCAACTTTTCTTCTGTGTCCTCTCAATGGGGCCCCCAGGGGTGCGGGATCCTTACTCCCGTTTAGAAAGCACACGACTTAATCCTGTTCCCCTCAGAACATCGTCACGCATCAAGGCAGCGAGCAATCAACAAGCAGTTTTTGGGGGCACACTAAGCACTGGAGCCCAGGCCAGCTTTCAGAGACAGGGGGTGGAGCAGTTTCTACAGACATCATAAACAGGAAAATTAATCTCCAAGATCTTCCTTTGCAAAGACATCCTTTGAGGCTGACAAAATCAGAAAAGGTTAAGACATTTTGACTGCCTTCCAAAGCAACATGGACTTAACCAGATAAATTCATTGAAAAATATTTGGAATATTGCAAAATCATCTGGCCTTGGGGAACACAGTTTCCAATAATGAAAGGCTTATTTTGAGAAACATTTTCCACCAATATAAACAGAATGCCATACAGAATAGCAATAGGTCCTATTAGAAAATAGTTTTTAATAATAATAACACTTAGTGCTTACTATGTGCTAGGTGCTATTCCAAGCACACACTCTCTCTATATATTAATAAAGATATTTATATAAATATATATATATATAAACAGTTGTCATTGAGTTGATTATGACTCACGATGACCCCATGTGTGTCAGAGTAGAATTGCGCTTCATAGGGTTTTCAGCTGTGACCTTTCAGATGCATATTGCCAGACCTTTCTTCTAAGGCGCCTCTGGGTCGGTTCAAACCACCAATCTTTCAGTTAGTAGTCTAGAACTTAACCATTTGCAACACCCAGGGACTCTCTCTCTCTCTTTCTATATATATATATATATATATATACACAACATTATTTTAATCTTCAAAATATACCTATGAGGTTAGTGTCTTATTGTCCCCATTATACTGATGAGGAAACTGAGACACAGAGAAGTTAAGTAACTTGCCCAAGGTCACACAGCTAGTAAGTGGCGGAGCACTGCTAGGCTGTTCTATTGTTCTTAGCTGTCCTCATACAGAGGCAACTGTCTGCAACACTCAGAAGGACTAAGTGAACAAGGGTGATACCCACCGCAATAGAAGCCCTCGTGGTCACTGCCTGCTGCCACCGCCCCTCCTCTCCCCTTTCCTTAAGAGCCTCCTGCAAGGTTTTTTTTTTTTTTCCCCAGAATTCTGCATTTGAAAATGTGCTTACTTTTGAATTACCACAGAAAGCACTCCAGCTGACTCATGGGATTTTTTTTTTAACCCTCAAAATAACTATGCAGCCGTAAGTATGTAAAACAACACAATCCTTGAGGCTGCTGTGGTAAGAATCTGTTTGAGATCTTTGTGAAATCAGACCAGTCTGGACAGTACTAACTGGCCCAGTTCCTCCCCGCACACACACATCGTTGTCTGCCACAAGTCACACCTTTTCTTCAACACCTGGACGCTTCTGTTGATGCAAGAGCCTCCTCTCACAAGTCCCAGCCACGTGGGTCCACACCCTGGCTGAGTTTCACGACCCATTCATTTACCACCTCTTTAAAACATCATTCCAAGTCATTTCCCCCTCCTTTCCAAGCCTAGCACCCCGTAAGTCTTCAGTCTTAGTTCAGTTCAGTTCCACACATACAGGTGAGTCCCCTTGCACTGTGTGCTAAACAATGGGAATTCATAGGCAAAATGAAGACGGGACCCTGTCCAGGAGAAGTTCATAGTCTGTTGTCTCCTGCTGCACCCTCCATAGGAGAATGGAAATACAGGGCATGAGAGAGCCATGGAAGGACAGCAGCATGCACTTCAAACACTGGGCTTTACAGAGCCGCTCTGGTTTTGCATAAAGGCAGAACCAGAGATGTCAGAGCGAATGGCTTGTTTCCTTATTTGGCTATGACTTTGTTTGGGCTTTCCCAAGTTTAGAGGCCCGGGAATAGAAACTGACAACCAGACACATATCTTTTGGGCACAGCAAATATGGCGGGTTATTCCAGGCACGAAGCTATTTGGAGACACATTGGCCAGGGCTATGTGGTGACTCCAGACGACAATGAGGGGAGGAGGTGGGTTCTTATTGATTTTGTAGGCACAGTGCTTAGCCTAGTGCTGGGTATATAGTAGGTGTGTCTTATAAATGTCTGCTAAAATTAATCAAAGAGGTAGGTGCCACTCTATATTAAAGATAAAGATGTCCAAGGTACTCTCTCAGATGGGCAGACTTGTTGCTTAGCAACCAGGGTGGCCCTAGAAGAGTATCAGCTGTAGCAACTCATCAGGTTATGTGTGCAGCACATGCACGTGCGTGTGCGCGCGCGCACACACACACACAGACACACACACGTATTTACGTGTTCAGTAGCACTCATCATTGGTAATGTACTATGGCTCCTTCCAAAGCACCAGGCCCAGAGTGGCCACCCCAAAGGGTATGCCTATTGGTAACCTCATTGCCTACTCCATATTGACACCGAATTACTCATGGTTCCCTTGATCACTGTTAATTTATACCAACTTTGTATAAATTATATAAAGATATGCAAGATTTGCCATCCATCTTTACACACTTTTTGTACCTCCGTCCCGAAATGGTCCTTTATTAACTTCCTGGCATCCTCTACCTTGTGCAGCCCGAGGCCTGAGGCGAGGAGGAAGAGCTGGGGGCACTTACCACGGTGCAGCAGAGGGGCCAGAACCACCAGAGGAGAGCCAGGGCCAGGAGCAGGAACAGGATCAGCAGGGCGATTGCCAGGATGGTGCCGTCCGACTGTAGGGCCAAGAGAGAGGGCGGTCAATGAGTGGGACCATGGGTGCAACAAGCACGTGTGCTCGGGGTGGGGGGAGGCAAAGCCTTTGGTCTCCCCCGTCCCACATTTCCATCACCAATAGCAGATCTAAGGGCCAGAGAACAGCACGCCTGCAGAGCAAATGGTTGATCCTCTGCTCCTCGTTCTAGGGGGGCTCCATAGCATGCTCTATTCAGCAATGCTCTTGTTGTTGTTGCTGTCAGGTCGATTCCAACTCATGATGACCCCATGTGTGCAGAGTAGAACTGCTCCACAGGGTTTTCAAAGCTGTGAACTTTTGGAAGCAGATTGCCAGGCCTGTCTCCCAAGGAGCCTCTGGGTGGGTTCAACCACCAACATTTTGGCTAGGAGTTGAGCACTTAACTGTTTGTGCTGCCCAGGGATTCCTTCTATTTGGCAATACTCAAGACCAACGGGTTTGTCTCTTCAGAAAGCTCCTGTTCTTCTCTTTGAGTAACATTGTGAAGGAGCCACCCTCCAGGAGACAGAGCCAGCAGCTGGCTTTGCAACTGGGTACTGAGGTGGCATCCTCGCTGCCCATCACCCTGGAGCAACATCCTCTGCCCGGGCCTGATGGTCCTGCTACCAGTGTCACCGGGGCTGGACTCAGGCCAATTCCACTCAGGATTCAGCCTGCTCCCCTGAGCCTATTCCCATAGGTTCATGTAACAGATTCACAAGGCTGTGGATGGAAAAGCTAGAGCCGGTTGATGAGATGTGATATCCCATTCCAGTTGAGTCACTTCCGACTCACAGTAACCCTACAGGACAGAGTAGAAATGCCCTATAGGGTTTCCAAGGCTGTAATCTTTACAGAAGCAGACTGCCACATCCTTCTCCAGCAGAGTGGCTGGTGGGTTCGAACCACAGGCCTTTCGGTTAGCAGCCAAGTGCCTTAACCACTAGGCAACCAGGGCTCTTGAGGGCAGATGAATTCCAAAGTATGGAAGGCAGAGCAGCTGCCCTGCACTTTCCAGGCAAGGCGTGAGGTGGCTGAGTAGGCACTACAGGTGGCTCAGGGTTCTGCAGGGGGTGGGGGTTGGGGTACGGTAGACACCCAAACAAATTTACCCACTTCAAAACGTGCCCAGGCCAGTCCTGAAAATAGCACCATTTCTGTGGCCTGAGATGGCTGTTAACTTTTAGCAAACAGAGATCTCACTTGGCGTCAGCATTCTGAGGCTGCTAGTTCAAGGACACCACTTGAGAACACAGGCTTAAGTCCCCGCTGCCCTCCCTCCCTCTCAGCTATTGGGAGTGCAAATGGATATAAGCTTTCTGGGGGGCAAACTGGCACGGGATAATTTGGGGCCTCCTTCTGAGTAAAGCTGGCAATTTCATTTTTAGACCAAGGAAATAATCGAGTGTGTTTGCACAGATAATATTAATAATAATAAAATTGGAAAATAACCTAAATGTTTAACAATTAGAGAATGGCTAAATAAATACATTATAGAACTACCGTGTGATCAGTTACTATGTAGACATTAATGATGTTTTCAAATAATATTTAAATGACACAGGAAAACATTCTTGATATAAAAAGTTGTGTGTGTGTGTGTTTGTGTGTGTGTGTATATATATATATATATATATATATAAAAAAGGCTGAAGTTGTCAAGGATTTCATTTTACTTGGATCCACAATCAACACCCATGGATGGAAGCAGCAGTCAAGAAATCAAACAACCCATTGCACTGGGCAAATCTGTCTCACATACTTTGGACATGTTACCAGGAGGGATCAGTCCCTGGAGAAGGACATTATGCTTGATAGACTAGAGAGTCAGTGAAAAAGAGGAAGACCTTCAACGAGATGGACTGACGCAGTGGCTGCAACACTGGACTCAAGAATAACTATGATCGTGAGAACGCCACAGGACTGGGCAGTGTTTCATACTGTTGTACATAGGGTCACTGTGAGTCGGAACTGACCCGACGGCACCTAACAACAACAACATATATTTAATGGAGCCCTCGTGGTGCAGTGGTTAAGAGCTCAGCTGCTAATCAAAAGGTTGGCAGTTCGAATCCACCAGTTGCTCTTTGGAAACCCTATGGGGTAGTTCTACTCTGTCCTGTAGGGTCGCTATGAGTCAGAACCAACTGGACGGTAAATTTTTTCTTTTTTAATATAAAATATCAAGAGTGAAAAAGGCAGAAAGACTGGATGGATATTAACTACAATATTAATAGTAGTTTGCTGGTAGTGGGTTTATGGTAATTTTCTTCTTTTTGTTTATCTGTATTTTCTTTCTTTTTAAAATGTTTTATATATTTCCTAATGAGAAAATGGAGTCCCTGGGTGGTGCAGTTAACATGCTTGGTTGGTAACTGAAAGGTTAGAGTTTTGGGTTCACATAGAGGCACCTTGGAAGAAAGTCCTGGTGATTAGCCATTGACAACCCTACAGAGCAGAGTTCTACTCTGGCACGTATGGGGTCGCCATAAGTTGGAATCGACAGCAACTGGTAAACTGGTGAAGAGAAAATAAATGACTGAAGTTGTACTTTACAACTTCCTTTGGTGTTGGACACCATCTGGCCCAGGGGTTCTTTTCCAGGTCAGCGGACTTGTGGGGGTGCACAGATGGGCTCATGTAGATGGAGGGAATTGGGTAGCCTGTCCAGGGTATCGGAGCAGGTTAATGGCTGAGCTGGGACTGACTCCATCCCGCTGTGAGTGCTCAGCAGGGGCTACTGGAAGCTGTTTAAAGGCACCTGTTAATCCCTGGAACTCCCTGGAATGTCTTTGACCCAAAAGCCAGAGAACTAAACGCCCCCAGCTCTCACCAAGCCAAAGCTTGGGAATGCGATTGCCCCAGAGGGAGCCACAGCCTTACAAATGCAGGTGTGGAACCAGGTAGCCCAAGGCAGTGGGTGGGGGGGGGGAGCGCCAGGCCAGACAGACGGCCATGGTAGTGAGGACAGCTCTAGACGAACAGCATTTATACAGGAGTGACGTTGGAGACGATGCTCTCAGCAGTGACAAAGAAATCACACGTGCTTTTCAAGCTTATTGTTTGTTAAGGCCATCTCTTTTGATCTCTCAGTCTCTACATTGTATGTCCATAAAATGGCAATAGTAAACCTCACTGGGCTGATGTGAGGATAAAATGAGTGACAAGATGCAAACAGATGTGCCAGGTGATTCAGATGTAAACTCCCTTATCAGACCTTGAGCTGGAACTCCCCCTACCCCCATTTTCCCAAGACAACTAATATGGTGAGCATTTCAGAGCACAAATCTGCTTGCACTTGCAACAATAAGTGGTTTTAGTTACTGGCAGCTTATAAAGCAGTGGCTTTTTAATACTGAGTTATAAGTTAGTAAAGAGTACATTTATTCACAAGGAGCCTTGGTGGTGCAACGGATAAGCGCTTGGCTGCTAACCGAAAGGTTGGCTGTTCAGACCCACTCAGAGGATCCATGGGACAAAGATTTGGCTATCTACTCCTGTAAAGACTACAAAAAACAAAAAACAAACAAACAAACAAACAAAAAACCAAAACAAAAACCCAAACCCATTGCCGTCGAGTAATTCCGACTCATAGCCTCCCCATAGAGACCCCATAGAACAGAGGAGAACTGTCTCATAGGGTTTCCAAGGAGTGGCTGGTGGATTTGAACTGCCAACCTTTTGGTTAGCAACCGAGCTGTTAACCACTGTGCCACCAGGACGCTCCTGTAAAGATTACAGCCTAGGAAAACCTATGGGGCAATTCTACTCCGTCACACACTGAGTCGAAACGACTTGAGGGCACCTAACAACATTTATTCACTTATATTCACTTTCCCCTCTCCTTGATTTTTTTTTTCCACTTTAGATAGATGAACTGAAGCAGAAAGGCTTACAAATTGTGAGATTTTTTTTTTACTTCCATGAAGCTGGGAGCGTGAAGGACCAGGACCACCAGAGAGAGCTCCTTGGGAGAAGATTTCCAGGATTTGGAACAAAGATACTTTTTTTTTCTCCCCCAGCCAAGTTTGGTCTGCTCCCTACAAGACACAATTCACCCTGGCTGAGAGTGGGTGTAGAGAAAAAGCAGCTGTGGGCCTCCGGAAGGGGCCAGGTGCAGTGAGGTGGGGACCGTGGAGACGTGGAAACTCACGGAGGGCAGGGAATCCTAGAGAAACTTTCCCCTGCTCTGGACGGAGAGGGTCTCTTGATAAAAACCCCAATGCACTGCCTTATTTTCAAGGTCCTCCACATGCCATTAAGAACATATTTTTGCCCAGTTCAAAAGAGTTACCATCAAACAAAAGGCATGCATTTTTAAGAAACACAGATATGAAGCCAGGAGATTACTAGGAGATAACATATACATGCAACCTCAAAGGTTCATTCATTTATTCATTGAGCAAACATTTGTTGATTATCTATCCTGTGCCCACTGAGCACACTCGAGAGATATAGGAACGATTAGAGCCAAGGTGCTCACGGAAGGTATACAAACACAACCCTACGGAGCACAATTCTTCTCTGCACACATAGGGTCACTGTGAATCGGAATCGACTCAACAGCTACTGGTTTGGTTTTTTCACTCTTAAACAAATCAGTCTTAGAAGAAATACAACCAAAACGCTCCTTAGAAGGGAGGATGGCGAGACTTCGGCTCACTTACTGTGGACACGTCATCAGGAAAGACCAATTGCTAGAAAAAGACATCACGGCTGGTAACGCAGAGTTAGCAAAAAGGAGCAAAACGCTCAGTGAGATGGAGTGACACAATAGCCACAGCAATAGACTCAAACATATCAAAGATCATGGAGACGGAGCAGGACTGGGCACCATTTTGTTCATGGTCCATAAAGTGACCATGACTCGGAGCCGACTCGAGGGCAACTAACAGCCACAAATTCTTAGAAAGCTTACATTCTAGTGGGATAATAATAACGATGATGGTGATGATAATAACTATTATAATGAATAGCTAAGGCTTACTGAGCACATTCTGT